GTTCCATTAGAAGCTGAAGTTTTATTATAGGATAACAGTACATAAAGCACATCTAAAATTGATGTGTTCAATGCACTTTTAATAAAGGTAATGTAATATTAAAGGTACAGTTTCTAAGTACAATATAACAACATTCATATTAGAATGAAAATCAGAGTATTTAAAAGACAACATTAAATCTCTCTTTTTTACAGCTTGTATTTACAAAATGAATCAAAATATTTTTTTAAATTCAGGACTTAATAAAATAAACAGCTGGAAATAAGCAGACTACTGTCAGAGTGAAATGAAAAGAAAATCCAATGTAAGTGATAAGTCTGGATGATCCTGTAAATAAAGATCATTAGCAAAGGTTTATTAGGTCAATACTATTTTTAGGATTCCCATAAATGGCTTGCATTTTTAGTGTGGCAGAAAAGGAGTTTTTACATACTGTACACCAAACAGACAGCAAGTATTTATAGGGACAGTATTACTGTTTCCAAACCTGTACGTATATTTACAGAAGGCTGAGTCTGTTACTCACAGAGTTTTGTGAAATTTGTGTGCTTAATCCTGAAGACCTACACACAAGTAGAGTTAGCATTTCACGTGGTCTTTTAAAATGCAGTTTTTATATTCAGTTGTAGAAGAAAACGTTAACCCTAAGGCTTGGCATACTTTATACATTTACCAAAACAACCCAGGAAGAAAGTTTTAATTGGGCACATTTGTTGTCATTTTAATAACTATCAGATGCTAACATGTGCTGGCCATTGTGCAGGTGCAGAGATACAATCTCTAACCTGGGGAATCTTAGGATGTTTAAATGATGCTTGGAAAAAAAGTTTCCATCTGTTTCCAAGTCAGACACTCAAGGAATGATATTATTGTTAAGAGATTTCTCCCTGAACCATAGCCAATTCATGTTAAAAGGTTAACATTAGCTCTCATTAACCACACAATTGTTTATAATTAAGGTAACAGAAAACTCTTCCATAAAAATGGAAAATGTCTAGAATTGTGGGTAAATATGCAATACATGGAAGCCAAGAATCATGACTTGAGAATTTATCACCTTCAATTATAAAAAGTGCAGTAAACAGAAACATTTGCTCTATATTTATAAATTGCTCAAAAATCTTTGCTAAAGATCTTACAAATTCAGTAATATTACAGAACAATTCTAATCAATATTTAATAAGGTTAACTACATCCTTAGTTAGATATTTGATACAGTTAGATTTTTTTTTTTGTTAACAGAGCCAATAGATTCTGGGAGAATGGGTGAAAGAGTTACTGAAGCTCACTCTTAGGTGCTTTTGAAAAGGAAAGTCCTTCACTCAATTCATGGAACTGGGTGAGGTCGTATTAAAACAAACGTCTGCAAGCGTGGCCCGTGTGGTGCCAGTGCTGGCTGCATTCTTCTCAGGACTCAGACAGCAGAGGAAAAGTTTCTTCTGCCATCAAGCCACCTGGGGATAGTTCATATAAATGTCTGTTACCTATAATAGGAGCTAACGATGCAACACTGTCAGGTGACAAAAACAGGATTCCCTAGTAAGAAGAAAAAAGTATAAATGGGAGAGTTTTCTTGCGCATCTTGAAGGCCTGGCAAATTACTTTGCAGTTCAGGAGTTACAGTATAAAGCTGAGGAGCAAACATAAATGCTGATACGTTTTCATATATCCATATTTATAAACAAATTGACCTTTTGGATGTCAAATATCCATACTAAGGAAGTAGTTTTATCCTAATTAAATATACTCTAGAATAATTTATATGATATTATGTATTTAAAGAGAAAAGCATGTCCCAAATCCAGCACTCTGATACAGCTGCCAGTTGGGTACAGGTAATATATATATATATATATATGTATATGTATATATATACAAATATATAGTTATACTCAGTGAAATTAACAAGACCCAAAGGTGGTATTGTCTAGGAATAAAAGGGATTTTTTTTGTTCACAAAAGTAACTTATCTAGCACCACACATCAGAAAAACACAAAAATAGCACACTCTAGTTCTAAACAGCTATGTCTAAAATAGATTATATAGTAAAACCAGTATTATACAGCATATTGTGGATTTGATAAACAGATAAATATTTGCACTGAGTAGGCTGTTTATAATATAACGTTTTCTTATCTATACAGGATGAAAGCCAAAAAGTTAACTGTATAGAGATGTGCAGAACAACATTAAATATTATGACTCAAAAGCAGGGACGAAGGTAAATTTGAAAGAAGAGTAAGAGAAAATGTTTACAGGCCATTACAAGTTCTTAAGTTAATAGTAAATAAGGAATCAATTGCTCAAGTTGAAGAAAGCAGTAAACAAGAGATTGCATTTACATGCAGATGTCTAAAATTGGTATCTCGTTTAAGTCTATACACAAAAATCATTTGTTTTATTGCTTGACATTCAGTTATGGCTAGATTATTTAACCTATTTTTTTTGTACTTTGGAAACAAGAATATTGTTAAAGGTGCCATAAAAATGGACAACATTGAAAACGGTTTGCAAATAAACCACCTAACACTGCAGTTCTTTATACATAATAAAAGCCTTGTCTGGGGTTTGTCATATGTTAAATATATTTAAACTGGGAAAATATGTTGTAGCTTGAAGCCTCCCATCGGCCCAAACATCCAATACAAAAACACATCTCCACAAAAGGAGCAGGCAGACAATACAGGTACATTTAAAGAAGCAGCCAGCTAATGTCCTAATGTTCAAAAATTTTACCACTGTTTGATAATAAGATTTCAGACCATTGTGGATAAGAAAAGAATTTTGGATTCAAGAATATGTGTACAGTACGTAGGGATTTTTTTTTTTTGTGAAATCATTTTCACTATATTGCTCAAGAATGATCTGCATTTACATATGCAATCTGTTCAATGGTGATCAAATTCCTAGAAATAGTACTTATCCACATGAAGGGAATAATGAGACAGAAATCACACAGGAACGCTGGAGAGAATTCCTTGTCCTTAAAGAAGGACCCAACAGCACGTGCAGCATGTCAAAGCTGATAGCAAGCTATCTGTCATTAGTTCTTAGAGGAAGAAAAGGGTAAGTGCTACCGTGAAAAAGCACATTTCAAGTAAACGGCAAACGTGGATTCCCTCAACATCTATTTAAAATACTCATATTCACTCTCTCCATACGAGACTCCATGTTATGTTGCGTCATTGCACACAGGTTGTTGTGATTTGGACTGAATATTTTGTTGCTCATTTATAAATCAATGAATGACTGAATGTATTTATTGCTTTAAGTTCTGAAGGTCTGGTTGAACATGGAGATGCACTTGGTCTGAAGCCAGGCTTCTGGATTATTATTATTATTATTTTACATTATTCCAAGAGCCTGACCAAACTGATCTCACTTCACTTACACACAAATAGACAAGCAAGTAGACCCAGAAGTGAAATGAACTGCTTTGTGCAGACACTGGTACTCTGCCTCCTCATCTCTTAAAAATTAGCAGCAACAGGAAAGTCTATGTAACTGAAGGTGGTAGAACCTCTTTATCATAATAATGTTTAGAGACAGAATGAAAACCTGTATTATAGACTGTGAGCAATCAATCGAGCTTTGCTGTTGTAATTGCATTTCAGGGCACACAGTTGGATCTGTGGTAAAAAGTTGTTTCCATGGGGTTCTGGAGCATAACTTCATGGGGAAGAAGTGGCAGTCACCTGTCATAACATGAAAAAGTATAAATAACACATGTGTTTTTATACCCATACAAGGGTGCTTTGTAATGTTTGTGAGAAAATGGGATTAAAAGTATGAATTTACTTTGTGCAAAAAATTTTTTGGTGCAGAAATGTTTTTCATAATATATGTGGAAAATGCATATTATGAAAAAACTATGCATGGATTTCAAAAAATCTTTTTGCACCAAAACAAACTCATAATTTTAGTTCTATTTCTCGTGAACTTTTTTAAGTACCCTCATATACTCATATACTGTGTTTGTGTGTATATGGAGGGGAAAGATTCTGCCATTTTGCTCATCTAAAATAACAAGGTGAAGTTTATCATGTTTAATTTTCTCAGACTTATGCTCCTCTATGGTAAGGAGAAATAAGTGAATCTTACTCTGTGTATTCTGGAAGTCAGCCAGCGATGATACCGAGTTTCCTGACTTTATGGAAAGTAACAAAGAGGACTGTAAGAACAAAACTACTTTTCAGTAATTCACATGCAACCCTAAAAGCTGGCCCACGTTGCCATCATACAGGCGGGTTTTGTTTTGTCTTTAACTCAATTCATCAGATCGTGGAAGTAAGAGTGGCTTTATGTATGGGTGCTTTTGGTTTGCTTCTAGAGAAGGACAGACAGTAGATACTAATGTTTCAAAAAAAAAAAAAAAACATGTTTCATCTTTGACCTACCCTCATTATACTCATAGGGTAGGTTTCCCATCTCAGCACTGATTTCTAAAGTCTTAATCCATAACTATATAGGATTTGAAATAGTTCTTAATGTATGTTGCTACGTTTTTATTACGACTTTTATTACTTGAATTATTCAAGCAATGGCAAAGGGATTAAGCAAAGGCTGCCCCGAACCAGGCTCTGTGCTGGCATGTTAACGTATTATCTTCTGAACACACTGGAGTAACTGCACGGCCCTGGAAGGAGTTAGTCAGTGTTTCGAAGCACACAAGACAGAAGAGCACATAAGTTTTGAACTCAACAACATGAGACAACAGTGAAGAGTTTACACACACACAGTTCTATACAGTTCGCTTGTGCTTTGGAGGGATAATATCATTATTATTGTTAATAAGAATAAAAAACACAATTTGTCCCAGTAGTACCGGCCACCCTGTTTTTAAGAGTTTTAGGAGATCCCTGAGCACATTGTTTCTGACTCGCAACCCCAACTCCCAAATGAAAGGGCTTCTGTCGTTCCCAAGATGGATTGTCATTCACAGTAAGTCAATCATAAGGTGCTTATTTACCCTTCTGTTTCACCAGTCAGCACAAAGAACTGTCAGAAAATAACTTTTTATTATTATCTTAAAATAATAGCACTGGAAGGACAGATGATTGAAACAATCAATGTTTGAAACAGTGGCTTTAGGATTATTATCTGGCTGCCCCTCAACAATTACAAGTGATTCGATCGACATTCCTTAGCCAAAAACAAAAAGGCGCAAAAAACCCCCAAAAAACAAAAAACAAAAAAACAAAAAAAACCTGTACAAATATGTATTTTTTCCCTGAGGGATCAAGGTACACCCGCAAGTGCTCTATGTACATATTGCACTAGAGAGGAATGAAGAACATGTGCAAAAAAGCAACAATGAGAAGCTTACGTACTACTGAAACTCTTTCGTGAAAGATTCTACTAGGTGGTTTTGCATTTTGGAATGTCGGAACACAAACTGCTAGCTATTCCTTAGTCTACAACTAAAAACACATATTTCTACTATGGCACATTCAATGAAATAAAAAGTTTTCCAAAGACAGATAGACAAATTCCATCAAGAAAATAATACAAAGTTTGTTTGTTTGTATTTTTTTTTTTAGAAAATTACATTACTTTCTTTCTTTGTTTCACATTACAAAATCTTTTTTTTTCTTTACACAAATCACATTTTATTGCAGGAATATTTCAAGTGCCATCAAATATTTATAGAAGGGTTAAAAAAATAGAAGTCTCTCTAAAGTGGTCCAGACAAGGCTTTGAATAGAATAAATCTTTTTTTTTTCCATCTTCTAGTTTTGATTTAAGTATTTTGAATACATTTTCTTTTCCATTGACACTTAGTAGCCTAGAAGCGGTCTGACACACACACACACACACACACGTCACACACCCATACGCAAATGCACGCACACTCACACTCGCACTCCTTCCTCACCTGACCCTCAAACCCACCCCCATACGCTCACAGACATCTGGTATCCCCACTATAAAGAACAACCAAACATAGAAGCAGTGTCTTAAGTCATGTTTTCCTTAACTTAGGAAGGGTGAATCAGGATGCTGAAGACTTAAAAAAAAAAAATCCATAGCTTTAACACAAATTAGGATGCTGTACACTTTAAAAATATCCATAGCTTTAACACAATTTGTAAACTGTCCAAAAAGCACTTTCATCTGCACTTTTGTTTTCATTGTGACCAAGGCCAGTTTTTTTCACAAAACAGTACAACCGTCTGGACACCATTATAACAGAAGGTTATTCGGGCTTTGCACAAAAAGCCTTATTTACCTTATGTGAGAAAACAATTGTACAAAGGCATTCTAGCAGCCTGGCTGATGATAATGTGATTCCAAGAACTATTGAGAATGATTGTTCTGGTACCACTGAGTATTTTGTGTCACCATACAGGTGTTTCCATAATAAGGAAGAAACTAAAAACGGAGAGTTTTTTTCACATCTTTTTTTGGGACTTCCAATTTTTTTTCCAACTGAATTTTCAACTTCAGATCCCATCTTAGATCCAAATAATAGTCAATTGCTCCCTCGCCTTGCCGAGCACATCTCTGTCTCTACGATTCGGCTCCTCTCCAAGTCCACCTGCTTTCCTTTCCGATATGCAGAGCAGCAGCATCACGTTATTCTACCGTGCGTTGCTGTCAAAGCAATGTCACCACGGCATGACTATTATTGAGATTAGAGCATCACTTTTTTTTTTTTTTTTTTTTGCATTAGGTCCATGCAAAATTCTTCTAAGTTCCTCATTATGCTCTCTCTCACCCTTAAAGAAGTTCAGTTAGCTCTTCTGATGTCATGAATGGACACTGGAATTAGGTTTAGTTGCTCTTTAACGCACTAGCACCTGAGGCTGGTCATATTCAGAAAGCTTTGGTTAAAAAGAAGTTAATATACTTCAATAGAACCATCCCCAAATTTAGTGAGTCTGACCAAAAAAAAAAAAACCCAAAACACCCCCACCCCATTGTCTTCTCTCAAAGGAGAAACAATAGGAGAAAAAGTGGACAAATAAATAACTAAGCTTGGTACTCTTTTATGAGTATAAATACTATTGATCTTTAAAGGAACTATGCTTAATTAAATAAAAAAAATTGACTTAACCCTTCTTGCCCAAATATAAATACTATATGCTGACAGCTCACCTCTCTATATAAACACACAATTTAATATGCCTGTAACAATTTTAAGTAAATATTACTCTTGTCTTCTTTTTATGGTTAAATCCTTACTATATTTTTGAAAAAAAAAAAAAAAGATTTTTAGACTTCATACACACTCTGTGTGAGTAACTCCTTGCCCTTTCCCAAGTCCCTCAAGGAAATGAGCTAGAAAGTCAGTGGAGATAAAAACAGGTGCTCTGGGAATTAGTCGCAGGTTCCTGTGGAAAATTCTGGAGGGACCCTTGTGGGAGACAAGACCTGTTCTCTGATGTAAGGGGCTTCTTAGGAACGCTACCTTTACTCCATGGGAAAGGTTCTTTCCTTTAACAAGCATAGTCTCTGATGTAGTACCAATAGTTTGACTATCACCCTAGAGTGGCTGACATCATCTTCCAAGTGCCTACATTCCCAAAAAGTCACTTGTTTTAAAAATACACACACGTGTTCATCCGACTGTTTCTTCCTCCTTCTCCCACTGGGATTGTTAAACACACACACACACACACAAACAAGACAATGCAATGTTTCTCCCCTGAACACAAAAGCCTGGCATTCTTCTAAATAATTAATAAAATAAATTACAGTCCACAGTTTTCTAGTGAAGATAAATACGAGTCCATGGTTGCGGCAAGCATCAACTTCACTTCAAAGGCTGAAGATATTTAATATTTAAGTAAGAAACTGGAGCAATGTTGTATGTCTCCCTCACCCTCCCTACTATCCCTGTCTATAAAATATGGAGAGCAATATTTGAGAGTAGTAGCATTCAGAAACAACTAGTCTAGAACTAATGCCCCCTGCAATAGTCGTAGGTTGCTTGATGAGACCAAGAACATAAACCTTCCAAAAAAATGCTTCATGTTCTCACATGGGGAGTGTGCGTTTGCTCCAGATAGAATCTTTGGGTCCTTCTTTTAATAAAAGCTAGATTCCAATTAATATTCTCAATACTGACTTGTTCTCAAAGCACTGAGAATTCTAATTTGAGACTGTGTCATTATAACCACTGAATTATATAAAACAAGCCCCCCCCTATACTGCCTTCAGAACATGGCATTTTTTTTTTCCAGGAAAAAAAAAAAAGTGCATGAGGGTATGAGACCACAGCACCAAGCAATCATTCAACTTTGTATGAAGCATAAACACATCTGTCCTGAAACTACCCAAAAAGCGAGGTGTAATTTAGGGAGAGTTCAAACTCTAAATTTTACATGTGGGAAAAAACAAAAAACAAAAAACCTCTAACATGGTGATTTCTAGATATGACCAGCCAGTCTTTTAAAAGTCCTCTTGTAAACAGCAGCATAAATACCTCCCGACGTACCTTCCAAGCCTTCTCAGTTTAACTTGTGTTTCTGGTGCACATGCGACACGACAGTGAACACGCTAGCATTTAATTTAAAGAAAAAGGTGCAAAATGAAAGTGCCTTATCAATTCAACAGGAAAAGCTACACCAGTAACTACATTTTTATATTAATTAAAACAATATATAAACAATATCTCTTTGAGCTATATATAGTCTTCATGCCCATTTCCCTGTAATATATTATAATGCTATTGTTGCTAGTGCCATGGACCCTTTTCATGCCATCCTGCTGACTTGGCAATAATCGGTGGAAAAAAAAATAATAAAAACTTCCTTCATGAAACAAAGAGCAAGTTGTGCAAAGTAATGCCGCAACCTCCGCTATGCACACCAGTCACCGATTATTGCTGGACTCTCTGTTGTCACTGACAGATGGGTGACTCTGCAGAAAGTCTCTGGGCAGTGAGCTACAAGAAAAAGGAAATCGTCCGACTTCAGGACCCTCATGCTGCTGTCAACAGAGGTCGACCATCGAGGTCGAGAAGTCTCGACAGAAAAAGGGTCCATATCTGTAGGCATAATGGAAATCATATGCATGAGAAAAACAAGTTCAACTTTTATTTGTTTTCATGGTTTCCCCTCCTTTGCCTGACCCCCGATCACCAAAAGATGTGCAGTGTGTTGGCGCTCCAGGGCTGTGCAGGGCCATACAAAGTGTCTCGGTTAATTTTGTTTTTTTTTTTGTTTGTTTGTTTGTTTTCAGGTTTGTACTTCAGACATTCTAGGAGTGCTTAGGTGATACATTTACCCATCTATTTGCATTGCTGGCTCAAATTCTGAAGTGAACAATTCCTTGTATAATGGAGGAAAGTGAAGTCGCACAATGTCTGGGTATATTGCTTTAAATGCCATTAGCTTTTCTGTATGTCGTCCACATAAGGCTCTTAATGTAGACACCTTGCATATTAGCTGGAAGTGGAAGAAAAGACATGATGTTAGGGGCAAACAGGCACTAGAGTTACAAACCTGAGGATTCTGGATTTCCTCCCAACACTGCTTTTCATTAGTGAAACATGACTGAAACGACTTGAAGATCCAGGAGTAGGGGATTGGCGAAGATAAATGGTAAGACAGGCATCCACGACAATTTTGAAGATGAGTCATTTAATAACGCAAAAAGAGGTTCACAGGCAAAAGAAGGCCCACTTTGTCAGTGGCAGAGTCAAGACCAGAACCCACGGCTCCAGCCTCCTCCTGCTCGACCCTTCCCAACCTAGCCCTTTACTACCTTAGAAAAAGAAGGGGGTGGTGATGGTGGTGGTGGAGGTGGAGAAGGGGGCCGCCATCGGGGTTGAGAACCCTGTAAGTAGATGGTGGGCTCCCCCACATACTTTACGCAGAACTGATACTAGTCAACTCCAGTGACAGCTTGTTCTTCTCAATGAAAGCTTTGCCAATAACAGAGCAACTCCTGGGCAGAGCCAAAGGACTAACTCAGAGGGCCTGGACGAGAGTCCACACACCGGCCACTGAACAGCTGAGAGAAAGAGTGAAGTTTGCCAAAATGTGTTCAGACTCTACAGCACTATACAAAGGCAGGCCACTTTGTATTTCAACTCACGATGATCTTCTCTGAGAGATGTTTTCAGCAGATCTTGTCGGTATGTTAGGTGCTCTAGGTCCTAAGAGGACCTAACAGTACCCTTGCACTGAGTGAGAAGATGGGAAAGAGAGGGAAGCTCTTCTCTCTTCCATCTCCCAACCCTACCCCACTCATTCATTTAACAGATGTACTATCAACAACACAACAGCAATTTGTCCCTGGTTTCCTCTTTCTGACCTAACCCAACTGTCAGGAGGAAAGAAAACCAACAGGAAACCAAAACCAAAACCATTCAAATAATTCTCTATAAAATAAAACACATTAAATAATTTGAGAAGGAAGGTTATTTTTTTTTTGCCAAGACCAAACTACATACTATTCGCATTACCGCTGAAAGATATTAGCATATTTTCAATTGACATCCTAATTATATTTTTTATTATGAAAGATAATAACTAGCAAAAGTGAAATCGTATGCCCTGAATACAGGGGAGTGATAGGAAATGAAGAAAGAAAACACAAAAGTCACTTAATTATGAATGAATTTAATGGGAAAGGAACTATATGAAATATATGGTTTCCTACTTTGTCATTCCTTCATAAGTCCGTCCTTCCAATTCAAAGATTCTTTTTAAAATATATATCCCTGTGAGTGTTAATTCTGCTTTAAGGCCGATTTTGAGGGAATAGGAAGAGGATTTCCAGAATATATTAAGGCTGAAATTCCCTCTATTATTGCAGGATACTTTATAATTGATGACCACGAATAGAATTTAACCTGAACTATGAGCGTTGGCCCTCTAGGGTTCTTCAACGTGGCTATTTCTGTTTGTAGCCTGTGGCTTACTGATGCTTGGGGGGACTGTCATGACTTCAGGGGATGCTGGAAATAAGGTCTGTCTGTGCCAGGGGCTGATTCTGGCCAGGCCTCCCAAAAACGCCTGGCTCTCACCTTGGTTAAGATTCCGTCTTCTCGGTGATTCTTCTGTAGGACATGCTGAAGTGCCAGCTGAATTTTCTGTTGCAGTTTTTCAATCTTTACCTTCTCCTGCAGCCATGAGCGATCTAACATGAAAAATGACACTCTTTAGTAGTCCCCGAAAGGTGGCAGGACCCCCTCCTCCTGAGGCTCGGATGCAGGATTATCACGGTACAATGCGTATTTAGGCACTCACAGGCTACTAGTCTCACTGCTTTTTGAAAATGTGCTCCTGGCCGGTGCTGTGGCTCAATAGGCTAATCCTCTGCCTATGGTGCCGGCACCCTAGGTTCTAGTCCCGGTCGGGGTTGCCGGATTCTGTCCCGGTTGCCCCTCTTCCAGGCCAGCTCTCTGCTGTGTCCTGGGAGTGCAGTGGAGGATGGCCCAAGTTCTTGGGCCCTGCACCCCATGGGAGACCAGGAGAAACACCTGGCTGCTGGCTTCGGATCAGCGCGGTGCGCCAGCTGCAGCGGCCATTGGAGGGTGAACCAATGGCAAAGGAAGACCTTTGTCTCTCTCTCTCACTGTCCACTCTGCCTGTCAAAAAAAAAAAAAAAAAGTGCTCCTAAAGGAGTGGCAGAGCGATCTAGGGAAGTTAGAAAGCAGAAGGTTAGACCTTTCCATTCTTATGAGGCTTCAAGGAAGGAGGGACCCTCGACTTCTAAAGGAACAGCATTGATGTCCAGTGCCACCCTTGTCTCAGTGCAAATGACACTGCCTCGACCCCTTGAGCCCTGCTAACAACTACACTTCTGAATGAGGTACTCCTCTCCATCCTGCCAGCCTTTTTTTTTTTCAAAATATGAAAAACTGCCTCATAATGCAGAGCACCTAAAAAATCGTCCATGGAATTCCAAATGACTTAAGGAGTGTTGATTCAGAGTAAAGTCTCCGCATGTAAGAACTCCGAGCAGAAGATAATAAATCTGCAAAAGTGATTATCCTTGAGAGACAGAACTGGCTGAAAACATACAGTGAATTCCAACAAACTTGTGGATGACACCCAAGAAGAAGTAGGATGTCTTAAGAGCCTTGTTCTGGAGACTGGCGTGAGGGGAGCCAACCTTACTGGACCCAAGCATTCCTGTTGGTTAATTTTGGACAGGGTTGTATTCAATTCTCATTTTCTTAAGATTTAACCTTAAAGGAATGAAGTCTTTTTAAAAGAGTGTATGTGTGGCCGGCGCCGCGGCTCAATAGGCTAATCCTCCACCTAGCAGCGCCGGCACACCGGGTTCTAGTCCCGGTGGGGGCGCCGGATTCTGTCCTGGTCACCCCTCTTCCAGGCCAGCTCTCTGCTGTGGCCCGGGAGTGCAGTGGAGGATGGCCCAAGTGCTTGGGCCCTGCACCCCATGGGAGACCAGGATAAGCACCTGGCTCCTGCCTTCGGATCAGTGTGATGCACTGGCCGCAGCACCCCGGCCATTGGAGGGTGAACCAACGGCAAAGGAAGACCTTTCTCTCTGTCTCTCTCTCACTGTCCACTCTGCCTGTTTAAAAAAAAAAAAAAAAAGTGTATGTGTGAGCCGGGGCTGGTGCCATGGCTCATTTGGTTAATCCTCCACCTCCGGTGCCGGCATCTCATCTGGGCACAGGGATCTAGTCCCAGTTGCTCCTCTTCCAGTCTAGCTCTCTGCTGTGGCCTGGGAGTGCAGTGGAGGATGGCCCAAGTGCTTGGGCCCTACACCCGCATGGGAGACCAGGAAGAAGCACCTGGCTCCTGGCTGTGGATCGGCATAGCTCTGGCTGTAGCGGTCAACTGGGTGGTGAGCCAACGGAAGGAAGACCTTTCTTTCTGTCTCTCTCACTCTATCTGTCAAATAAAATAAGAGAGTATATGTGTGTGTGCGTGTGTACAGGGGAGGTAGTACAGGAAAAAAAATTAGATGTAAAAAGGCTTGTAGCCACTCCTGGAAGGCCCCCAAATATTCTGTAGCCAATGTAAGTTTTATCCAATTTGTGGAACTTCTTTGCCTGAATAATATTAAGCCATTTTATCTTGCTTTGGTTCTCTTACCTGCCGACATCAGGACAAATGCAGAAAATAATGCAATTTCATCTTCAGTCAGGTGCATAGAACATAAACTCTTTCCAAATTCAAACACAAAGCTAATAAAGTCTTCACAACCTGCCAGGATTAAAGTAGAGTCGGTTTAGGATTATGGTTATTATCTAAGGAGAGAAAGACAGAAGGCAGTTAAGAGGGATACAGTAGTTCAAGCCCTGAGCAGGTGGTACATTAACATGGCCACGGCTTAACAGTTTGAAATCTTTAAGTCTGTTTACCCATCGTCACTGCCATCATCACTACCACTGTCGGTGAGAACAAGGAGAGTAATGTTGGGTCGGGATTGTGATGTCAGGTGTTGCTCTCAGAGACTGCTTTGAGTTTCTTCCTATTTCAGAACAGCCCTATGGGGGAGAGGTTATTACCTTCGTTTTCGAGTTGTGAAAAGTGAGACTTGCAGAAAAAAGTTAGGAACCTGAGGTCATGTGGGCAGGAGGTACAGCCCAAGACCCACACCCAGCCTGCCTGGCTTCAGGGCCCATGTCATCCACCAACAAAGTCTAATGGCTAAAAATGAACTGAGATGTTAAATGCACCTATTTTTGTTTTTGACTCAGTAAGTGTACTTCAAGCATTCATAGAAAAGTGGAACAAAAATGTTTATTGTGGTACAAAAAAATTTTGAAATCCATGTGTAGTTTTTCTCATAATATGCTTTTCCCATTAACTTTGGGAGGATCACTTGTCTATTATCTAAAACACCCTTAAAACTGTTAACAGGTGACACAACCTGGCCGTAAAAATACTGCAAATGAAAACAGATCATAATAATTCCCTAAAATAATAATTCAGTTTCCTAGAGACTGGTTAAATTTTATGTCTGTTCTTTCAGATTTGAATATTGTGTGTGTGTGTGTGTGTGTGTACGTATGTATGTTAGTGGGCTCCACTACCTATAGCTACACATACTTTGTATCGTGCATCTTTATAACAGTCACTTAATGTACCGTGGCTTTCCATGATCATATTTTAAAGAAAACCAAACTTTAATTTTTATTTCATTTTATTTGAAACGCAGAGACAGAAGCACACAGACGGAGATGGCTCCAGTATTTGGGTCCCTGCTTCCCCTGGGGCAGATGAGCTTGAGCTCCGGGCTTTGGCCCCTTCCTCTTTCCCTGCGGACTGTTGTAGGCACTGGGAGAGTGAACCATCAGATGGAGGATTTTTCTCTGTCTCTGCTTTTCAAATGAAAATAAATTTGACAATTCAGTTTTTTTTTTTAAAAAATCATATCCTGTGAGTTATCCACATTATTTATCTCCTGTAAATCTGGTTCTTTAAAAATATGAAACTGGAAGTGTATATAACAAATTATGATTATAATATGTCTCCGATTACCAACTAGATAAAATAAACCTTGAGGTCTTTACATGTAACACACATAAAACATGTCTGAGCCACGTGACTTTTTAAACCATGCAGTAGAATAGGTGTGAACGCCTTTAATTTTTGTTTGTATACAACCACTTTGGATTTTGTCCAGCCAGAGCTTTCACCCGCCCCACATGTCTCCGTGAAGCCCCCGGTCTGGAGACGGGCGCCTTGCGATTTCCTTACCTAAGGATTTGAAGACTTCGGGGCTAGCATACTTCCCGTCAAAGTACACGGAGTTGTTCTGAGAGTCAAAGGCACGACACATTCTGATGAAGACCACCTCTAGAGAACCTGAGCAGAGGCAGAAACTGGGTCAGCTGGTCTCAGGGAGTTGATTTCTCAGGTGTTCGCGTACAGACCCCTCTCTGAGCCGGCACAGTGGGTGCTGTGTGCAGTGAGCTCATGGCTCTCAGTTGCATCAGCCGTCTGTGCAGAAGGGCAGTTGAGTACGGGAGCAAAGACTACTGTGCTGAAGCTAAGGCCTGCTGAGCGGAAGGGAGCATGGTTTCAACCTTGCAAGGGAGAGTCTCCAAGTTGCTAGGAAAGCATGCGTTCACATTTCTGAAAACAGACCGCTAAACACCAGGGTTTGCGTTCCACAACCTTTTCCCTGACAGCTTAGCATAAACTCCAGAGGATCTGGAGAGTAGAAACCAAATACAGGGGATGATAAAATTTGGAAACAGAGGAGAAGCAAAATGGAGGGCATGTTTCCTGAACAGGAGCTCAAAAGTCTGGAAAAAGAACTCCATTTCTGCGAAGAAAAACCCGAGCTACTGTCATTGGAGGAAAACTGTTGCCGACACCTTCCTTAGCAAGCACTTCTTTAATAAGCAGCTGAAAAGCAGGTTAGGAAGAGGCATCAAAATTCACTTGCAAAGCACATACCTGCTTTCAGAAGCACAATTTGATCGTTTTGACACAGTTCCATAAATCCATCAATGCGTTTGGCAAACTCCACCACATACTGTATAGCTTCTGTAATTTTGATGGCACACAACTGCCACATCACCTCCCGCTGCTGTGGAAGACAGGAGCACATCAACAGACATGGTTACGCAGTATCCTTGGCACAGCTGGGCTGACTGATCCTGTTTTGTAAAATCCTTCTTTGGAAATGGATTCAGAAAGCCTAAGGCATTAAGCAAATACATAGTTCCCCAGTCATCTGGGTTATGAAGATGGCTTCCATGTTCTTTCTCATCTCCTCGGCTTTGTGGTGACAGAGGGACGGTGGGGAGATAGGGTCATACAGAACACAGGCTGAAGGGTCAGGGAAGCCATGCCTTTAGCCCTGGGCACAGCGGGCAGTGAAGCAGGATCACTTTTTAAGCAATTATTTTGCCTTGGGAAACTTAATACCTCTTCATGAGATAGCACAGAAAATAGTCAATTAAGTTTTCTGTGTGCCTATCATGAGCATGGTATTTCTATGATATTCTTGTTTTATTTCATTTTCATATGAACATTCCTCCACCCCTCTGCCCCCGAAATGGCCACCAAAACTGACAGGAGCTTTCACAGTTAGAAAGGATAAGACGGAGGTGTCAACAAAAATCCAGCTTCTCATTCCCAATGCCTTGTTGTGTTTTTTTTTTTTTTTTTTTGACAGGCAGAGTGGAGAGAGAGAGAGAGAGAGAAAGGTCTTCCTTTTTGCCGTTGGTTCACCCTCCAATGGCCGGCGCACTGCGCTGATCCGATGGCAGGAGCCAGGTACTTATCCTGGTCTCCCATGAGGTGCACTTGGGCCATCCTCCACTGCACTCCCTGGCCACAGCAGAGAGCTGGCCTGGAAGAGGGGCAACCGGGACTAGAACCCGGTGTGCCGGTGCCGCAAGGCGGAGGATTAGCCTAGTGAGCTGCGGCGCCGGCCCGCCTTGATGTTTCTTACTGTTTCCTTCTCTGTCGATTGGACTACTGTCATGACCTGCTATCTCAAAGGCGAACAAAGTAAAGGGCTGTTCATTTCCCAACCTGTGCTGCGAAATTCACCTCACATGCTCGCCCTCCAGTGCAGCTGAGGGTGACCTGGGTTTGTTGCCTGCTGTCTTGCCTGGTTGTTTCCTCAATCTTCCTTTAAGATGGTCCCCACCAATGTAACGGGGTGGGAGACGTATGGACTCACGAACCCAGAGTCTCGTGTGGCCCTGATGTGTGTCCTCTCTGGCCTCGTGCCAAGGCATGTTGTTTTCTCATGGAAGCGGGGAGAGGATGGGCCTTGAGTGTTGCCTTGGTCCTTTCCCAGGCTGAATGTCTACGATTATTGACAGGAACTACAGCCTTTGCTTTCGCGAAAGGCAAGGTGGGCAGTCACATACTCCTTGTCGCCAGCTTGTTCTCCCAGTCGAGTGGCTTTGTTGATCAGAGTGCTTCATAGAGAAAGGCACGTTGCAGCCCTTCGTGTTAGCCTCATGGCACTGGACTGAGAGCAGAGTTATGACCGTGGCTTCTAAACCTTGTGTGTGTGTATGTGTGAGAGAGTACTCCCTAAATGCCTTCCTTTTAATCTCTGGAAACAAGAGGCTGGGATTATTTTACATCAACTTCTAGACCTTAAGATCTTCCACTGTGTTATCGGGACAAATCCCAATTCACTTCAGCTTTGGAAACTGCTTCATCCAGTCCCCTGCTGACAAGTGGAAGGGGATATGTTTATAAAGCACAGCAGAATCGGCTTGCTGGCATTGAAATTCCACATGCCGGCATCTCAGTAAGATGATGAAACCTCAAGCACATGATAAGCACTGGAAGAAAAGTTTTTAAGCAGAAATCTGATATCTGATGAAAGACATTCCTTCTTTGGTCGGTTTGACCTCAGCCAAATCTCTCACCCTAGCAGTCCTTGCCAACCCCGGGAAAAATTCCTTAGATGCTACCTTGTTTTGATAGTTCTCGATCTCCTCCTGCAGAAAGGTCTGCCACGTGATCTGCTGGAGCTCTTCTCTCAAGTACTGGCAGGTTTCCAGATGAGACTTGGATATATTCTGCGCCAGGTGTTCTAGGGAGAGAACAGGAGATCACAGGCATGAAAAGCCCAGTTCTTCTCTGCTTCAACAGAGGCTCTTCCACTTAATATTTGCTTTAAAAAGTGGACATTAGGCAATGTGCAGAACCAGTTTCGGTCATCTTGACACACTGAAGCAAGCATTTTGGGACCCTTCTGTATTTGGGAACATGAGAATGAGGAGCAAGGGCTTTGCGAAGCCAACACTTCAGGATAGGACTTGGTGCCTCTCAGCCTCTGGACCTTACCCTCATCCTGCGCCCTTATTCCAGTGTCTGGGAATGAACAAACGTTGAACTCCATGGCATTGAGAAATGATTGACAGGGCCTCTTTGTGGCGTTTTTATGAGGACACATCTGTCACATACATTGCCCTGGGATGGACCACTCATGGAAAACTAGGGAATAACCTTTTATGATACCAACTCTGCATTTATTTTGTTATTCCTGCAAATGGAACAAGGAGGGCCTAACAATGATACCAAGGGCCTAACTACGGATAGTGTAGTTGGTCAGAGAAAGACTCTGGAGTTAGACTGTTTAAGGTCTGAATCTCAGCTTTGCTGTTTGCTAGTTGTGTGATCTTGAGTATATTATTTAACCTCTCTCTACTTTCGTTCCCTTATTTGTAATAGGAGGAAAACAGTTCCTGTTTCATGGGTCAGTTGTAGCATTGAGCTGAGCACTCAGAACAGGATTACATAGCATGCGCATGTACTGTGTAAATATTAGTTGTTATACTTGGTGTGGGGGGTTGAATTTACCAACAGAAGTCAACAAAGTTTTCTGTAGGAAATTAAAAGGACAGTTCAGCTCATTTGATAATAAAGTATGAAGATGGTAAAGACAAAAACATCAGATTTTATCATGAAAGGGAGAGATTAATGCTGAGTTACCAGGATTAGGGCATGTGTTCAGGGAGAAGACGAGAATTGTATTGGGCCCTATAGGCTGGGGTAGGACTGGTGGGCAGAGGCCAGTGGTGTCAAGAGGTGGGCGAGCTCCACATAGAGGGGGGAGTGGGTGAAGGGGGCATGAATAATATTTATAGGGAACAGCCAGATGTGACAGAGCAACAGAGTTTATATCCTGTAGGATCTGAAATATGAGGAGTACGTCTGGACTCCTGAAGGCATCTGCATGGTCCTCAAGGGGGCGCTGACATTCTGGAAATGGTCCCTGGGGAAAGAGACGAGCAGTTCTGTGTTGGGTGCACTGCAGCACAGAGAGCCAAGGCAGGAATACCAAGTAGAAAGCTGCTGGGCCCCGGGTGTGAGGTGCTAAGCACCTTGAGCAGGTTGGTCATCATTGTTGAGAAAGGAGGACAACTAAAGCAGCCATCACCTGCTGCCCGCCAGGGGGCACATTAGCAGGAAGCTGAAGTGGAGCTGAGTCTTGGACTCCCTAAGGGATAAGGCTGGTGTCCCAACCGATGATTCAACCACTAGGACAAGTGCCCACCTCCCAATGAAGCATTTTCAAAGACAACCCGATTCTAGGGACGGAGCAATGATCCCCCTGCCCCAGTCTTGAACACATGATAAGCAAGCCAGGGGAAAGAATAGCACCAAATGCGATTTTGGCAGCACTAGTAAGAGAGTCTGTTTATTTGGACATTTGTCACTGCTTCCATTAAACAGAGCCAGACTTGTTTGTGTGAAAACAGAGCAGATTCACCTCAGTGAAGTCTGAAACTGTGGTCTCCCTAGAGACAGTGAAACACAGTAAACCTTAGTGGCCCTCCTTGGCAACACAGGCACTAAAGCAGCATCAATCGGTAGCATGAAAACGTAAAACATAAGGGCAGGTATTACAGGCTAGCTGGTAAGACTCCTGCAACCTGCACTGGAGTGCCTGGGTTCAATTCCTGCCTCAGGCCCCTGACCTCAGCTTCCCCTTAATGCAACTGTGAGGCTCAAGTGTTTGGGTTCCTGCCACCCACGTGGGAGACCTGGATTAAGTTCCCAGCGCCCGCTTCAGGCTGGTCCAGTGCTGGCTGTTGCAGGCATTTGGGAGTGAACCAGCAAATAAGAGCACACTCGCCTGCTCTCCCTGTCAAGTGAAAAAAATTTGAAGACCGAGTTGGAAGGAAAGAGATGGAGAGAAAACAGCAGCTACTAAACTCTGTCAGATGGTGCTGCTTGTGAAAAGGAAATAAAGGCTAAAATAGGGGTCGGCGCTGTGGCATAGCTGGTGAAGCTGCCACCTGCAGAGCCAGCATCCTATATGGGCGCCGGTTCGAGTCCCGGCTGCTCCACTTCTGATCCAGCTCTCTGCTATGGCCTGGGAAAGCAGTAGAAGATGGCCCAAGTCCTTTGGCCCTTGCACCCACGTGGGAAACCTGGGGGAAGCTCCTGGCTTTAGATCGGCGTAACTCTGGCTGTTGTGGCCAGTTGGGGAGTGAAACCAGTGTATGGAAGACCTCTCTTTCAAATAAATAAATGTAAAAAAAAAGATTGATTTATTTACTTGAAAGAGTTATACAGAGAGAGAAGGAGGTGTAGAGAGAGAGAGAGGTCTTCTACTGCTTTCCCAGGCCATAGCAGAGAGCTAGATTGGAAGTGGAACAGCTGGGACTCAAACTGGTGCCCATATGGGATGCTGGCACTGCAGGCGGCGGCTTTACCTGCTACGCCACAGCACCGGCCCCAGATTTGTAAATATGGTAGTGAACTATTTCCTAATGGAAGAGCCCTCAGTACAAAAGATTATTTCTGAAATGTTAGGCAATTCTTTTGTAGATGTGGGGAAAAAAAAGGTGTGTTCCCAGGGAAGTGGGATTCCTGTGATGTGAACATTGGGAGGAGGTCCCTATCATTCCCTTCCAGGTTATGCGTTTTCATTTAAGATGGTCAGCATCTTGCTGGACTTGTGGTAAAAAAAAATGCTGCTGCTTCTCGCCGACTCCAGCTTTTCCAACAGCCAAACGATGCAATGCCCATGACACACCAGCAGAGGGCAGTGGCTGCCTTCCCACCAACTGCTCACCCTCTCTTGCCTTTGATCCCAAGTCAGGGCAGATTTGGCAAGTGTGGGACTGCAAACACCTGGCTATTTTTAAACCTGTAGTTCAGCAAGGGAGAATATGGTCAGACTGGATAGAAGTTGAGAAGTCAGTGTGGTTTCCGAGAGAACCCGGCTGGAAGAGTGAGATATCTTGGAACTAGTGGTTAGCAGGAGTGCTTTCTGGTCTGGGCTCAGCGGACATATGTCTCGCTGTGGGACTGGGCGAGCCTGCACCTCCTCAACCATGGCTGCTTCCTCGACACCGCCAGTGTCTGGGCACTGGAGGTGGAAAACGCTGGCTTTTGAGTCACAGGTTTTCATGGGGAGAGGAACTTGAGAAGCATGGTGTCGTGCGGATGTGCCTCGTTTTGCAGATAGGGGCGTTAACAACAGAAATTGCTCACATGCACGTAGCACTCACGATGTGTCAGAGCCCTGGCATTTCCATGTGTGAATACACACATTTTCCTGCTTAATGCTGTGACAACCCCAGGAGATGAGCCTGGATTGTCTTCATCTTACAGACGAGAAAACGGAGCCAGAGAGAGAGGAGGCGGGCTGCTCCCAGGTGTCCTCGCTGGCCATCGGCACAGCTCTGATTCATCTTCTGTAGGGAGGGAGACGCCCAGTTGCAGCTGACTGGATCTGTCCTGGCTCGGGTGACTTGGGCTAAGCCCATGGCCCACGCTAACTCGATGCAGGTCTCTGGAAGACAGAACTGCCTAGCTTCTGCATGAAGTTGTATTTCTCAGTTGTAGGAATAAACACAATGAGTACTTTTTTAAAAACGAAATCAAAGTTGTTTTCCCTGGAATGTAAAATTGGGAACTAACTATCCCCAAAGGGCAGTCCTTCCTAGCCAGGGGTGACAGTGGATTTCCAATAAAAGTAGCAGGTTGTGGATTTGACACTGATGCAAAGGTAGATGTGGACTTAGGATATGGTCATTTGCAACTTATTTTCCTATTGTTTGATTTGTTTCAAGTCTGATGAGGAAGTTTGGCCTAAAGTGATGTCAACAATCTTGAAGAGTGAGAAGACCTTAGGCCTGAAAGGAAATCAGCGAGAACTGTAGGCAGGTCGTGGGCCATGTGGACGCTACTCTGAGCTCCAACTACTCTGTACCTCAAAATGAGAGCTCAGTGATGTTGTTGCCGACATTTAGATTTGGGACTGCTGGTGACGCGTGAACTTAGGTCATCCTAGAAAATGCCACCATCCAGGAGAACACTCCCTCACTTGGAAGGTGCATGTGAGGGTGCAGGGCTCCCAGACCGCACTGGAAGGGGACCCAGGGAGAAGGGGAAGCCAATTTCCCTGTGGACCTGGGAGAATCGGCTCAGCTGTTTCTGGGCCCTCTCGGGTCTTAAAACCCGTTTAGCCAGAGTACCGCGTCCCAAAAGCGAGACTTTGGCCAAGCCCTACGGATTTATTTCAGGATTGAACATTTGCCCAGCAAACAGGATGATGCACTGGTATTTATGGCAAGGTCTGGACGCAAGCCTGAAGTGAGTCAGGTCATTTTCCATGGTTCCATGTCAGCTTTCAATCAAGTCCTCGCTCAGGTCTGAAATGTTCACTTTCGGGACCGCTGCGCTTCAGATTCAGCCAACCAAGATTTCACGACAGAAACAGAAAAGTTTTTGTTCTTGTTTAAGAAAACAAAAACAAAACGAAACGAAAAATCAAACCCACCTGTACCCTGCCTCTCTTTTAGCTCAGAGGTTTCTCCGCTAATCAAAAGAGCTGCGATCCACCTTTAATACCGTTCAGCGGTTGAAAACCAGGCTTAAAATGTCCCTGGCTCTTGAGGATTTAAATTTAGCTTCATAAAGAGATGCTTGTGTAAAAACCGTAAAGAACATTCAATTTGTTCTATTTGGAGAAAGATTTTACGGGAAATATAAATTTTCACCTAAAAGATGTTTTATGGGGGCACAGAGGTGGAGAAACCCTGCGAAGAACACAGCCATTATTTCTGTGCACTGAGGATTTCTGTGCTCAAGTCAGAACCTGCTGGTTCTTTCCCATCTGAAGTCTCCATTCTCTCCTCGTACCCCACGTAGTCCCCTCCACGGCAACTAATTGAAATATCCCAAAGGACTGTAACCTTGGACGAGGAGTCACTGGGAAGAGCAGCTCAGGTTCTCGAGCCACACAGGTTCTCATCAAAGTTTCTCTAATAATAGTGCTGCCCTTAAAAATCTATTAAATATAGCCGAGGACGTGAGTGCAACTTCCTCGGAATGGAAAGTGTCCCATTGTCTGTGTTACCAGCATTTCTGGGTCACAGCTCCCAAAAGCAGTCGTGTCCCAGCAATAAGGAAATGATGTGGCTTTGTGTTTTTTTTTTTTCCCCTGTGGTGGTGGTGGTGGGGAGTATGATGAGCCTTATATGAAATAGACTAATTTTGTCGCCAACACCCATCATCAAAGCATTCTGGCAAGTAACGAAGCTGATTTCTCTTTCACATTTATACTATACATCCGGGTTGTAAAACTTAGATGTGCACAGGGGCTGAGCGGATGCTAGGAATGAGAGGAGTGGGGTAGGCCCACCCGGAGGTGCCAGCCTCTGACTGCTTCCAGGTGGCTGCTGGCACTCACCGATGCTGGGGCATATTTCTTTTCTCGTCCACAAGAAGCTCAGAGTCAGAACTTTGCAGTGTGGCTGGCCCAGCTGACAGCACAGAGTGTGACAGGAAGGACATGGGACAAAGGGCACAATGTCGTGGTGTTGTGCATAGGAGGCAGACCGTGGTCAACAATATTCAATTTTTCAAGATGGTAACTGGTCTTGCCACAAAGAAAGGGTGACCATATGAAGTTATGGATCTGCTAAATACTCTAATACTACACCGTGGGAGCCAGTGTTGTGGCAGCTTAAGCCACTGCCTGTGACACCAGCATCCCATATGGGTGCCGCTTTGTGTCCCAGCTGCTCCACTTCCAATCCCGCTCCCTACTAATGCACCTGGGGAAAGCAGCGGAAGGTGGCCCAAGTGCCCGGATCCCTATCACCCACGTGGGAGACTCGGATGAAGCTCCTGGCTTTGGCCTGGCCCAGCCCTGGCTGTTGGGGCCATCTGAGGAGTGAACTAGCAGATGGAGGATCTCTGTTTCTCCTTCTTTGTGGCTCTTTCAAATAAATAACTCTTTAAAACTAATGAATCAATTAAAACCAAACATTGAAAATTTTAGCAACTGAATCAAATTCTTTATTTGAGAGAGGGAGCGAGTGCGCATGCCTGTGACCCCATCTGCTCACCTGCTCCCTGGATGCCCACAACAGCCGGGATTGGCTAGGGCTCAAGCCAGGGAATTCACTTCAGGTCATGTAGGTGTCAGGGGCCCATATACTTCAACCATCACCTGCTGCTGCCCAGGGTATGCATTAGCCAGGAAAGTGAAATCGGGAACTGGTACCAGAACCCAGGCACTCCAGTGTGGAATGCGAGCATCTTAAACTACTAGGTCAAATGCCAACCCTCGAATCAAAACTTTTAGAACTGTACACTGATCCAGGTTTAGTTTATAGATTGTGTGTTTTTGTTTTTTAGGACTTTGGGTCTAAAACAATACCCTGGGATAGAATTAAATATCTCATGAAGTTCATCCCATTCCCTGAACTTCCAGGGCAATGCCCACCTTCCCTTTGGGTCATTTGGGATGCAGAAAGGGTAAAGCGTTCCTTGGCTACAGCATGAGAAACACAGGACAGTGAAAAGCAAGGAGGCACTGGGGCGGGGACAAGAAGCGGCTGGAGGGTGAAGGTTAATGACGTCACTCCTTGGACCCCTGCCCTGCAAGGGGCTTGAGTAGAGCACGCCCGTAGAAGCCCGCACCATTTACCTAATTCTGCCATGGACACGGTCGGGGAGGTCTCTCCATTGGTGAAGGAGCAGTAGGGAAAGAAGCCTGATGCTGGTGTGTAGTCACATATGGGTTCCGGTTTGATCCCGTTGATGTCCAGACCCGACTGGTCGGGGGAGGGCTGTATGTCCAGGTAGAAGCTGCTGACCGCCGAGTCGGCCTTGCTGCCCTCGGGGGTGTGGCCATCAATGTAGTTGCTGAGGTCGTCGTGAAGCTCCGTGAGCCCATTGGCCGAGATGTTGTAGGTGGGCGTCAGCGGCTCGGCCTCCCCGGGCTGCTGCTGGTGGTCGCGCTGCTGCTGCTGCAGCCGGTGCTTCTGCACCTCTGCGTACAAGCTGTCCCTCTGCTTTTTTGACATTCGGCCAAACTTTACGGCTGGAACAACAACAACAACAAAAAGCAGAGACCCCCACCATATATATATGATGCGCTTTTCTACAGAACCCTAACCTGTGGGCCTTAAGGGTTTCTTCTGTGGTCTTGCATGGTGTCTATCAGAAACCATAGGACACCATCCAGAGGTGACAGCAGCCCCACCCCGCTCAGGCTTGCCCTGCCCTCTCAATGGTAAATGCACAGCCTAGAAAAATGGATGTTTCAGAAAGAGCCCCGGGATAGGCAGGGGGCAGTGGGTTCCTGCGGTCACACCTCCTCCCCCAGGATCGCTGGGTACCACTGAGATGGGAGGTGGCGGGCTTGTCCGTGTCCACCCACACAGCTGGCCTTGACCTCTTTGCCCAGTGTTAAGGGCACAGGGCAGCCACCACTCAGGACTCAGGCAGACAGAAGAGGCCAGACCTCAAACAGGTCTGTGGTCCATCTGTTTGAATGAGGTTCTTCCCCATCCGTGGGGCTTCAAGGAGAGGCCTTTGTGATGCCTTGAACTGCATCTCGGAGTTAACCCCTCCTCCACCCATGGGCCCGGGAAGCCCCTGTGACCCCCTTGGACCTGCCAACAAATGACACTTGCTGCTGCTCTCCCTGACCACGAGAGCATCAGGATTTGGAAGGGGCCAAGGCTGAATCAGGTCCCTGTTGGGCGAGTTGTGTTTGCAGTGCCCCTTCTTGGGTGTGCCCCCCCTCCTTTAAGGTGGAGCAATGACTAGAGGAGCTTCCCAGTTTGTTCAGAATCTCAAATGATTGCTCCTGCAACACAGCTAATGGGGAGGGGTAACCCTCTGATGTCCTGGTCTGATTTCTCGCCTGAACGCATCGATCGCTCAGCTGGTCTCTGAAGAGGCAGGGGAGGCTCTGCTGGAGAATTTGTTCTCCTAATTGATGGTGGTTACATTTACACCCGGCAGGGAGTGTGGCTGCGTCTGTTTGATCATCCTAGCTACGTGAGTCTGGGGCAGCAGGCAGGATAGAAAGAAGTTTTGAATCAAGGCCACCATGCTGGCCAGCTGGTGGACTCCATGACAAGGAAGGCATGGTGCCTTTTTGCACAGAGGAAACAAGTGAGCTGAAATTCTGGTCAATTTTCAGTTTCCATGCCTGAGATAATAAACTTGTGCAGGGCTGGTTAGATAGCAACCAGAGTGACGTGGGCTTTAAATTTTAGGCCCCATACTTTTAGAAGTGCCCAAAATTTACTCTCAGCCCACAACAGTGAGTGCTATTTCTTATATGTAAAGTTTCCAGAAGTTATACCCAAGGTGCTCAATTCTTTGGAAAAGAAAGTTCTAGAACACCCCAGGGGCTCAGTCTGCAGAGGCTGGATTTGTTCTGCTGTGACTCTGCAATTGTGCTTTTAACTTTTGCCATAACAGTGACAGCAGTAACCATGTCCTCCTGGTTTGAGATAGAGCAGCTCACACAGCCTGTGTTTCTAATTTAAAAGTTCCTAAGAGAGATTCCCAGCTTAGTCAGTTTGGTGCCATCGGAAGATGAAATCTACAAAATTGCATGCCAGGGGACTCTGAAAACATGGCGTAAGTTCAGTGACCACTATGGAGGGCCTTTACAAGGTTCATGGAAAAATGGAATTAAACCAGAGGTGGTGTTTTGATTTAAAAAAAAAAAATTGGAATGCATGCATAGGTTTTCATAATATGTGTCTTCCAAGAATTTTTTTAGGACTCTTTGTATGCCTGGACTTCAATATTTTTTTGCCCCCAGTAATTGTTTCATTCCATTTTTCCACAAACTTTTGGAGCTATTCCCATGTCTTTCAATGTCAAAAACTTGATTTCTACCACGGTGCACAGGATGGCCTTTTAGATATGGAAGGACAAAGGGGGTCTTGTGCCTGGGCAAGTCCACAGGCTCCAGGAACATCTGATCACTAGGGAAGACAGGCTTTCGCCAGGCTAAAATTCCACCAGAGGAGACCCTGCCCTTCAAAGGAATCTCTCAAGAGAGCCAGCAGGGAATATTTGAAAAAGTCCGTAAAATGGGCTCACTCAACTCTCCTCAGTTTCCATACATGAGAATAGCTGTTTTGAAAGCTGGTGTTAATTACTCATGGCACTTCAGATAGTTTCTTCGGGAAGATTTTGAAATGTTTTGTCATCGAATGGTTGATGCTCTGTGTTCCTAGACGTTTGTCACCGACCCACATGCTGTGTACTTTCAAACAATCTATGCACAAGTATCTGATCTTGGCACGTGATTCAAAAGATCCAGGAAGCATAGAAGCTAACAGATAAACACCCTAGAGTGCAGCAAGCCACTGGCTTGCATTGCTTAGGGGAGCAAAGGCCTGGAGGAGGGATATAAAGGCCTGCAGTCAATCCATCATCCTATAATATCTGAAATATAAAAAAACTGAAGGTTCTCTGACTATAAGATACTCCTCCCCCATGCCCTCCTCCCCCATCAGCGACCCCAGTGGATTATGGGACGCGGCAGCTGCTGTGAATTTTATGGAGCTGCCAGGGGAGCCTTGGGGACAGGAAGACAGGGCGGGAAGGGGCCCCCGGGGCAGCCATGGGTCTGGGCTTCCGGAGCTGCTTTCCTGACCCCGTGTGCCTTGCAGACCACCCGAAGCCGGGAGAGCTCACCGTCTCGAGACATCCCCACGGCAAGGCATTTCTGGAGTCGACAGTGTTGGCAGCGGTTTCTGCTGGTTCGATCAATCAAACAGTTCTTCTGACGAGGACAGGAGTAGGTGGCATTGCTTTGCTGACTTCTCCTGAAAAAGCCCTGTGGTTCGGTTATAAAACATAAAACAAGTTAGTGTGTGTCCGGGCGGCGTGAGACTGGAGGCAGTGCACGGGGCACTGAGCGGCATTAATATTTAATGGAGAATTAAACTTGTAGCAGAATCATGCAGGAGACCATTAATGAAATTAAAGTCACTTCTTTTTCCTGGAGTAAAATTGATCCCTGGAGCCTAATCCTGCATCCCTTACACAGGCAGAACTTTTTAAACATCAACAGGCCATTGTCTGTGTAAAAGGCACAAGATCAGGTCCCTAACGAGCTTGATAGAATGATACAAAGTCACCTTTAAACTTTATCTCCAAAACGTTTTTATAAACAATCACCAACCACCTTCCTGGGGTGTCCAGAGTTAAGGAGAGTACAGCCACACTGTAACTCAGGTGCTGCAACCCTGTGCACTGGAATCATCTCTGCTGGGCTATTTAAACCCATGGCTCATGGGGCGCCTTCTGCTCCCCGAATCCAAAGCTGTCTCAAGCGCTTCAATCACACGCGGGTGGATTACTTTGGCCGATCAATTAGATTGGACATGCTGCCTGGACAGTTTGGAAGTACCATGTTTAGAACTGCGGCCTCGCCGGTGCCGCGGCTCACTAGGCTAATCCTCCGCCTTGCGGCGCCGGCACGCCGGGTTCTAGTCCCGGTCGGGGCGTTGGATTCTGTCCCAGTTGCCCCTCTTCCAGGCCAGCTCTCTGCTGTGGCCAGGGAGTGCAGTGGAGGATGGCCCAAGTGCTTGGGCCCTGCACCCCATGGGAGACCAGGAAAAGCACCTGGCTCCTGCCATCGGATCAGCGCGGTGCGCCGGCCGCAGCGGCCATTGGAGGGTGAACCAACGGCAAAGGAAGACCTTTCTCTCTGTCTCTCTCTCTCACTGTCCACTCTGCCTGTCAAAAAAAAAAAAAACTGTGGCCTCTCACTTAAATCCAGCCTCCCAGTCCTCAAGCTCCTCGTGCATGCAGAGCACCGTGGAAACGAAAGGGTGTACAGAATTGCCGAAGGAGCTACCGACCTGGCTTAGCTTTGTTTTCCTACCTTCCTGCGCTGGACGCTTAGCTCACTCGTTGTCAGGGTTTATTTTTTTCCTAAACTGTCCAGTTGAAAACGCAGTCTGATTCTCAACAGATTCCTTCTTTAACTCTGCTACTCGGAAGCATACTGCTGAATTTCTATACATTTAAGGGAAGCTTGGCTGTCTTTTTACTGTTGACTTTCCTTTGCGGTTTTGAAGCTAGGGATGGATGCAGAAGGGCAGGAAGGTAGCCGGAGTGACTGCCGTAGAAGAGGGAATTTGCATCTTCAGAGCTTGAATGGTGACGACGGGACACTGGTAGAGTGGGGAGACGTACAATCCTGAACTGTCCCAGTATGGGCAAACCAGTAGGGTACATTATCATCAAAACATTTTGCTGGACAGTTTTGCCATATCAGAATTAGTGAAAACATGCCTGACTACTGAACTGGTATCACCTTTTAAGGAGTATGCCTTAAATGAATGTCACAAAGATTCATCCGTGAGGATGTTCCTAACAAATTCAGCAAGATGCTACGTGTCCAACATCAGTGTGAACCAAGTCACACTGTGTATCTTCTGACAGTGGAATCCAGCAACAATCAAAGATGCTATTTCAAGATAAGAAGGTGACAAACTGTACTGCTGGAATTTTTAAAAGCAGTGAAAAAACTAAATAGTATCCAATTGGGGGGAATAAAGAAACCACATATTTAATACGGAGGCTTTCGAAAATGATACCCACAAATGGAAAGGATTGTTGGCTTTGGCCAGTGGGGTCATGAGCATTTTTAATTTTCTTTTTGTTTGTGCTGCGTGATAGGAAGGTGGAGGGGGATTGGAAAAACCCTCTAGGACGTTGTCTTTCTCTAGTGATGGCTGGAGGGCCTCTGTGGAACAACTCAGTGTATGGGATGCGTGTGACCTCTGTTCCCAGTCTACTATGAGGACCAAGCTGGGACTGGGAGGGAGATGGACCCCTGACCTCTCACCCTCTCTGGCTCTCGGGCCTCCCGGAGTGTCTTGATTGTATTTGCAGTCTACCCCCATCCAGAGTGGCCTCTTGTGAGATGAGCTCTCTGGTCTCAGAATGGTGAAGGCTGTGTCTTTTGGCATTGTGTTTATTTTTTCCCCTGTGAAAGGGAAGTGTAGAGCAGCAAAGATTTTTTGAGGACTTAACGGAGAGAGTTCAGGAAAATATAAATGGCACTACAGGCTGATGATCCTTAGATAGCAATCCCAAAAGCAGTAAATAAACCTTTTTAACAAAATAAACCACAATGTGCCACGGTAGGTTGATGGCTTGCAATGCCATCATCAAAAGCCAGGAACCAGGAGCTTCTTCTGGGTCTCCCACGCGGGTGCAGGGGCCCAAGGACTTGGGCCATGTTCTGCTGCTTTCCCAGGCCATAGCAGAGAGCTGGATTGGAAGTGGAACAGCCGAGACTTGAATAGGCACCCATATGGGATGCCGGCACTGCATACGGCAGCTTTACCCGCTATGCCACAGTGCTGGCTCCACCTGCTCTACTTCTGATCCAGCTCCCTACTAATGTGCCTGGGAGGGCAGCAAAAGATGATCAAGTACTTAGACCCCTTCCACCCACGTGGGAGACCAGGATGGAGTTCTAGACCATTGAGGTGATTTGGGGAGTGATCCAGCAGAAGGAAGACTTCTCTAACTCTGCCTTTTAAAATGAAAAACAAAACAAAACCCAGAAACACAAAGAGTCTGTTTGGACTCTTGGCCATATTTCGCTCTCACCTCCTCTGCCTCTTGACTGAGGCCAGCACCTCCTCGTGTGGCCTGTGTGTGTGGTGTGTCATGGATGTTGTGTCTGGGGATCTGTGTGCACAACACAGTGCTACCTGCGAGAGCACCGTTTCCGAATCTGTTATGAAACTGGCGCAGGTGCATGGGAACAGGTGTTACTGCTTGCTGTTTAGTTCTGTCAGAGGCAGGTGTGATCCGTGGCCTGGTTTTGGGGCTGAGCCAGGTGCAGGGACTTGCTCAGCGCCCACCTCCAGAATGCAGTAAAGCTAGGGTGTGGCACACGGTTGGACTCCAGAACTCAGACTGTTGGCCTTTCCTTTCCACCTGCCTTGGTGGTTCTCACAGAGGGCAAAGCTGCCGTAAGGATAAAGCCGGCAGGACTGAGCCACTCTGGAACGTGGGTGGCTTCTTTCAGATGGGCCCTTCTGTCGCTCACCCACTGCTCAGGCATCCTGCAGAATTTTCTTCTACTGCCTCCTGCTGATCTGGGTTAGGAACCTCACAAGAAAACCAGTTTCGCGACTTCCTTCTGACCAGGGGTAGAACGAGTCACGAGTCACGTGGGTTAGAAGGCACCTTGAGCTTTGAGGAGTGGCCTCTGGCTGGACCTTGGATCTGGCTTCTGAGCCGTCTGCCTGGAAGAGGACTGTGCTTATTTACGTCTCAGATGTTGAGGAGTTTGGGGGAAAGCAGGCAAGCAAACAGATGCACCTGACTCTGCACAGCGTTCATTCCTCAACAAGAGTCAGCTGTGCAAATCCGTGCTGCAGCGTTCCGGGAGGGCACAGCTGTGCAGCAGAGGCGGGCTGCCATTTGGACTCAGCAGAGGACTGTCAGAATCCAGGAAGAGGGCAAGAGCTGGAAAGAGAGGACTGGGGCGAGCCGCCAGGGCTGAAGACTGAGCTCGGCATTTCAGAAAGAATTAGAGGAAGGCTTCTTTGTTAGCATTCCTTGGGGTTTCTCAGAGACTTAAGGGTTTGGGAAGTTCAACTGATAAGATATTAAAATCCAAGGAATACGTAAAAAGGCAGAAGGATTAGGAGAGGAAGAAAAGTGGAGAGTATCTAGCTGTCTTCCTACCTAAAGCTCAAAGTGTGACAGCAGGAACCTGTCTGATGGGGCAGCAGGCCTGGAGACGGTCCCGCTGAGTCATGAGCTCCACCTGTTGGGGAATCAGGGACCAAACAGCAGGGGCAGCACAAGCCAGTACATGGAGTTTTGGGTGGACTTGTGTATAGGAAATAAAGTGCTTCAAATATGAGTTAGCTGGGAGAGATACCAAGTATGTACTTGGGCAATTTTGTTACTTCTATAAGATGAGCCAGTGCATGGCTTCCTTGGGTTGCATTAAAGTTCACTTTGTTTGGATGTCACAAGATACAGAGAGGTTCAATTACAAACATGGCGGGTTTGAAGTTACCATGATGAATTTCAGGGAGTAGATACCTAGTGTGACTGTGGCACACTACCACCACCTAGTGGCAGCCTGCTATCATGCAGTCACTGCAAACAGAAAATGTTAGCAAATCACAGACATGGGCCTGTAGAGCAGGATTAAAGTTGAGAAATAAGGTCCGGAAGTTCTTAAACAGATGGTGCATCAGAGTTACCCATGAATCTTTTAAACTTTCGATCCACTGAGCCAGAAGCTTTGGGGATGCAGTCTAGGCCTACATGTGAATTAGAACCATATGAAACTTAAAGAAATAATGTGCAGAACAAAGCTCCCTGAAGATTCTGCCCCCTCTTATGATGTTACCAGAGATATCCTCTAGTTTTCCTGATTTTTGAAGACCGAAAACAAGCTCAGGTTGTTAAATGACTTGTTCAAGGTCCCCCTGGTGTCAGTGTTGGAACTGGAACGCCAGTGTCCCCACTTTTAAGTACAGTGTCCTCTGACCTACGTATCACTTCTTATGTGCTGGACTGCCAAAACCTATGACATGGATTCCATGTTGCCCTGAGTCTTTGCAAGTGCCTGTTGCCATGTTTCAGTTCTGGTATCTGCCTCCCATTCTCTAGGAAAGTCTATTACACCCCAATTTTTTATGATTTATTTATTTGAAAGCCAGAGCGAGTGCACATCCATCAGCTGGTTCACTTTCCAAATGACTACAAAAGTCAGGGCTGGGCTAGGACCCAGAAACTCTATCCTGGTCTCCCGCATGGCGAGTGGGGGTCCAAGTACTTGAGCCA